TAAAATCACTACAGGAACTTTTCTTTAAGTTTAGATCACATATTGTATTCAAAAGCACCCTTAAGAGAACTCTGCACATCTTATTTCTATAATATATGCAAATGTCCCTGTTGTTTAGGATCAGTTACCTCGCTCACGAGCATCATACACCAATGTTAAGCTAACTGTTAGCTGCTAGCTAGTTCATTGGTGGATTTATGTTTATTTAAAAATAAATAAAACACCCTTTAGATAACTGTGCAAAGAACATATTAATTTCCCTTTTTTTCTTGTCTCATACTTTACTAAACTATCCTCTCATATTACTTTATATAAATGTTTCGAATCAGTGTCTTCTCTCCCAAACATTAACCACGAACATTAACTTTTAGCTAATCGTATCTTATCTTATATTACATCTATTATTCTGGTGTACTCTGTTTACATATTGAATTATGCTTAACTTGTTTTGAGTCCTTTCGAACGGTTTGTGCATATTTTGTGTCTTGCTAACGGTTCTAATTCGTGTCTCCACCGTGTTTCAGAACACATAAGATAATAATTTCCAAATCGTACATTCAAATAAACTGTACAATTCTGAGCTATCTTATAGCATATGTAAATGTTGCTATATCCTATGAATACATTTGTCCTGCATATGTCCCTGTTGTGCAACTCAGTCTCACGGCATTTCGTGTTATAGTCACGAAATGCAATCTATTGATTCGTGTTCACCAACACGATTTTCCCCTTTTTTTCGTGTCACACAGAACGATTTTAAAAGCAATGTATTTCTATTGGTAGGATGTTTCGTGCCTGCAACAAGGAATAACAAATTAGAAGGAAAAAAAGATTTAAAAAATACAGATTTCAGTATTCTGAGGCTCTGAGCCATTTCTTTTCCTCACGGACGGCAAAAAAAGTCCGACATTATACGATTTAAAATAAAAACAATAATCGTGGCTTGATATTGAGTAAGAACATGTTTTTATGAACCCCACAGCTTCCGGTCTTCCACGACCCGACCGGACAAAAATACGTGGTGCAGGCACGAAACACACTACCAATAGAAATACATTGCTTTTAAAATCGTTCTGTGTGACACGAAAAAAAGGGGGAAATCGTGTTGGTGAACACGAATCAATAGATTGCATTTTATTCGTGACTATAACCGGAAATGCCGTGTAACCTTTGCAACAGTCTTCTACACACTTTAGGTCTGCAGCTCCTTCAAAATGAAACGAGAATCTATGCAGTTTCCTCTTCTGTGTTCTGAGGCTAGAGCCGACCATTAGTCCAGTTTGTTTCATAATGTTCTGTATGCTAATTTAAAAAAAGGGTAACCAGTTTGTTTATAAAGTATAAATATACATTTTCAAAACAAATGGAATACAAGCTATATGTATTACTCTCACCACAGTGGCCTAATCTAAAAAAATAGAATGTCTCGTCACGTATTTTCTGTCTAATACTAAAAGGTGGTGTTTTGTATAATTTATAATGTTTTGAATTTGCTATAAAGGTCAATAATAGATGGTGTTTTTGTGTTCAATCACAGTATGTATTTACCCTTTTATACCCCTTGTGTTTTTGGGTCCTGTTGAAATAAAATAGTCATGTTTTTTTTTCCTTAAACTGTGGGTTTTCTCTGGAAGTTTTTCCTTGTACGATGTGAAGGTCTAAGGACAGAGGGTCTAAGGACAGAGGGTCTAAGTACAGAGGGTCTAAGGATAGAGGGTCTAAGGATAGAGGGTGTCGTTTTTCTCATACTGATATTCTGAACAATCTGTGCTGTTGTATTTGCTGTAAAGTGTCTCTAGGCTATTCTTATTTTATGTACAGCACTTTGGCTCGACCAAAAATCGTTTATAAATGTGCTATATAAATAAAACTTGATTTGATTTGATGTTTTAAAACTTGATTTAATAAAGTCATGTCAATCATCTTTGATCCCAGTGTGACACAAACAGCTTTGTCTAAAACTATTTATAACCTAGAGACAGAATATAACTGAAGAACATGTTGTGTTGCTGTTGTATATTGTATGTGTTGAGAATGCTGAACATTGTGTGCCTTACAATAAAGGAACTTATTTAAATTAAGCTGTATTTGTCTTTTTAAAAGGAAAGAACAACGAGCATATATAAAAAACAAAACAATAAATCACCAACACAAGTATACATAACACAAAACAAGGTTCTTTTAAATGTTGTTTGAAGTGAAATGTTAACTATCCGTATTATATTCACTTCAGATGAATAGTATCAGAAAATGTAAAATAAGAAACCAAAGTATATCAGTAGGTGATTCTCTTTGCCATTGTTTTCCTCTAGTCTATACTTTTACAACAATTACATGCTTGGTTTTGGTGGGCCACCCCAAGATTTTCAGTGGCCCCATTTGGCCACCCCTATGAACAATCTCTGGAGGCGCCACTGAGCGGGACCCGGCAGCTACTGTCTACACTAAATGCTGCCGTGATGAAACGCCATATCATGGATTATCAAGGATTCTCTCTGAAACAGTCTGGAGCTCAAAGGCTTTCTCTCTTGCCGGTGAAACAAGGTGAGTTCCTTTTTACTTCCTGCTTCTTCACACACATGCTCTCCAGTACAGGTTAGCTCTGAGTGTTAGCGATGCTAATGTAAACACCGACCATATTACGTCCAAAACAGTCGGGCATTGTTTCTGATAGCAACGTTTCTGATTGGGCCGTGGGTCCACATTTCAGATATTACGTCATATCCAGTGGCGAGCCGTCAGGGCCCTCTAGGCCAGGCATCCTCAAAGTCCGGACTCCGGTCCGGGTCCGGACCGAACTACAACTGTCTCTGGACTCTGAGCAAATTATACTTTTCATATGTATTATCTGTGTTATCTGCGAGACATCGCCACAAAACAACGAGTCAAAATGATCCGCTATGTCCACTACAAACAGCGCTCTGCATGTCCGACTGTTCCACTGTCTGTGTGTCTGTCAACGCTTTGGTCCAATCACATTCAGCATCCCGTCAGCGTTTTTTCCCCCCACCAACAGTCTGCGAATCAGAGGCACAGTAGGGCGGGTCTTCGCGGAATGCCGGTGGGAAAAATGCGTGTGTCGTCTCTTTCAACCTGTCTAAGTCAGAGCGAGAGTTTAAAAAAAAAAAAAGTCAGAGCGAGAGTTAACAGCTCATCTAGTTCCATCTGTACTGTAGCTAGTAGCCTATAGTTTCACCTACCGGGGTGGCAACTGCCACCCTAAAAAATAGGCCTTGCCACCCCAGTTGGCAGCTTTGTTTTGAAAGAAAAGTTGTGGCTCATCGGACATTTATGAGAGAAAGTCTCTAATTGTCCGAGTGCAAGTGAATGCAGCACAAGATGCACGTCATGTAACCCCTCCCCCGGCCCTGGCGCGAGCGTGGAAATATGGGGCCTCAGAGGGCCTAGGTATAAAATCACGGCTCGCCACTGGTCATATCGGACGCAAATCTGGATCAGCTCCGTTGTTCCCCGTTTTTAGAGATTTGGGTACGGAGGAAAAGAGAGAGGGTTTTATTTTCTGACGCTGCGTGAGTTCCCCGACACACCGGGGACACATGTTGATGTAGAAAAGACATCAGAAAGTGCATTTTGCATGATAGGTCCCCTTTAATGGAGTTCAGTTTACAGGCTATAGAAAATAGAAAAGTATCTTTAGATATTAATTTAGTAGTTTTACCAAACTACAGTTCTCGACTTTACCAAACTTTTAAACTGCAAACATTTCAAATGCAGGACAACTTGTTAGTTTTTAATATTCGTTGATTTACACAAAGTTATTGGGATTAGGCTCGATGACTCCATCTGACAGAGAAGGAAGCGTAAACACGACAAGAATCATGAGAAATATCTCACAGTTTATTTAAGTTTGTATAAAAGTGAACCAACATGGCTTTGTTCTATATTTTCAATAACATACTATTTTATCATCTGGTATAATTCAATAGTAATTTACGTTATTTCACAAAATATTATTAAGTCACTGCTGTGTGTCATTGCATCAACAGTACAGAACATACAGTATCACACAAAACAGTCAAATATTAAAACAATGCAACATTTCTGAGTATGATCCCTTTTTAACCAAGTTTAGATACATGTATTGTTTAACATAACAACAGTTGACAATAAAGCAAAAGAGAATATTCATCTTACATTTCAGTTTTTTGCAGACTCCATTTCCCAAATAATATATAGTTTCAGAAACCAACGACAACAGCGGTTAGTGGTAAAACCAAAAACGAGATTTAAAGTCGTTTTAAACTTGTGTCTGATGTCACACTGCCTTATGACTTCTCTTCAGGATGTGCTTCCATCTTTAAAATAACTTCATTTTAAGTTACAGTGTACTTTTGATAAAAAACTACTTATGACCATGCAATATTGTGGTGCAGAGGTGACATATTTGTGTTGGTCAGCATCTTCCTTGTTCCCTCGACAGAAAGCCAATGGGATTTTTCCATTGGATTTTGTATCATAGAAAATAATCTCTGTGGTGTTGATACATGATGATACTTACAAGTCTTTTTCAGCAGGATAATCTCTACATATTAACACCGCTTTATGATTTTTCAAATAAAAAGCTAATGTTGGACTATAAAGGAACTACAGCACGGTCACATGACTTCACGTCACCACCGCTAAGCTAAAGGAGGCTAATGTTGGGCTATAAAGGAACTACAGCACGGTCACATGACTTCACGTCACCACCGCTAAGCTAAAGGAGGCTAATATTCGGCTATAAAGGAACTACAGCACGGTCACATCACTTCACGTCACCACCGCTAAGCTAAAGGAGGCTAATGTTGGGCTATAAAGGAACTACAGCACGGTCACATGACTTCACGTCACCACCGCTAAGCTAAAGGTGGCTAATGTTGGGCTATAAAGGAACTACAGCACGGTCACATGACTTCACGTCACCACCGCTAAGCTAAAGGTGGCTAATGTTGGGCTATAAAGGAACTACAGCACGGTCACATGACTTCACGTCACCACCGCTAAGCTAAAGGTGGCTAATGTTGGGCGTGATGACGTTTAGTCGTCTCATTAAGACACTTGTTAGCAACCTCTGTTTTTAAATTCCCCAGTGGGGTATTTACTTGTGCATTTTATAGAACAAAACGTTGAAATCTCTTCAGCTTGTGTTAACCACAGACCTTATCTCAGGCTAACAACCAAAAACACATTCAGAAAACCATTGACTTCAAGACAAGGGAGCAGGAAATGCTAAAATGCCAACCTACATCTTTGTTTTAGTACCTTTTACCTTGCACCAGTCGATCACATTATATAGAGAAACCTCAGGAAATGGTTTTGAGGTCCTTCCTGAGATCCAGGCAGATTTGCAGTAAAATGCTTTCTGGATTCAGGAGAGTATCAGAAGGACACCTGCTGCTGTTTGGAGAGTTGAAACTGACAGGCTTTCAGGTCAACCTGATGGACGAGCGGGCAGGTGTGAGAGAACCGTTGAGTTTTGGGGAACTGGTGTAGCATGGAGGGTTGTCCGATTCAGGAGATCCAATACTGTTGTTGGAGGAGGAGTCATCGAGGGAAGGTTCCTGCAAAACAGGACGACTTCAGACCAACAGAGGTGGGAGGAGTACTCAGATCTTGTACTTGAGTAAAAGTAGAAGTACTCAGGTCTTGTACTTGAGTAAAAGTAGAAGTACTCAGGTCTTGTACTCGAGTAAAAGTAGAAGTACTCAGATCTTGTACGTGAGTAAAAGTAGAAGTACTCAGATCGTGTACTTGAGTAAAAGTAGAAGTACTCAGATCTTGCACTTGAGTAAAAGTAGAAGTACTCAGATCTTGTACTTGAGTAAAAGTAGAAGTACTCAGATCTTGTACTTGAGTAAAAGTAGAAGTACTCAGATCTTGTACTTGAGTAAAGTAGAAGTACACAGATCTTGTACTTGAGTAAAAGTAGAAGTACCAGAGTGTAGGAATACTCTGTTACAGTAAAAGTCCTGCATTCAAAATGTTCCTCAAGTGAAAGTAGAAAAGTATTCTCATCAAAATATAGTGAAAGACAGTAAAAGTAGTCGTTGTGCAGATTGATCCATTTCAGAATAATATATATGATATGTTTTATAATGATTGATCATGAAAGTGTTCTCAAAGCTGGTAAAGGTGCAGCTAGTTTGAATGACTTTGTATACTGCAGGGTAGCTGGTGGATTTACTCCAGGTGGAACTAAAGTCTGATTTAACACTTGATTAGATTTCACATCATTCATGAAGATCTGTGAAGTAACTAAAGGGATTAAATACATGTAGTAAATGTACTTAGTTACTTCCCACCTCTGCTAAGAATTATCTACCAGGTTAATTAAATGCATTTGTACTTTAGATCATAGAGAGGGTTACCTTCTGCTGCAGGACGTAAAGCGACGTCACAGCATTGATTCCATTACGCTCCGTCCTTTTGGGAAGCAAATCATCTGTGGCACAAAGTGGAGGGTCATTCATTAACATTACATTCTAGGTGTTGGGATTAAGCCTCTTTTTGTAGATTATATGATCACTTTATGTAAAAGATGTTTAGTATTACGTCACTATACCTGTGTGAGTGATTCGTAAGCAATCAGAGTAGTCATTGTATCTGTAGACAGGGTTTCCAGCTGGGTGGTGGTGCCTTTGCCTATCAACATGATACCAAAGCATTATGTCATAGTATGATGATTTAAAACACAGTCTTTAGCTTATCATGGCCGTACACAAGCCGAGTAGTTTGCAAATTAAAATCCATTGATTTGAATGTAAACGCAGGAATGGCGCAAACTCAAACACGAGAGCGACTTTTCAAGGAGTGATGGATTCGGAGTTGGTAGTTGTCATGGAACACAAATAACAATGTATTAGCAGTTAGAATGCAGCTTTTATTTTGAAATGTACTTTGAAAGAGATGGCACTTCCTTTGTGGCTATGACCACTTCCTTAAGTTCCAGGAAGTCCTTTTACACATGGGCACTAATGCAATAAGCATGTAATGGGAGCACTCGCTGCAGAATCCCCATCCATCCTTCGTTCTAAACCCAAAACGTGGCATTATCAGTAAGTCAAGTTACTAATTATTATCTTAGCTACAAGTGTTTGATATTATTTGTGGTAATATATTTTTGTAGTAAGTATAATTATTATTTTTGTAAGAACTTGTTGCTGTGTTATAGTGTGTTACATAATGCTGTGTAATGTTGCATCGCATATTTACCTGCAATAACCTGCTCTTGTAAAAAGTACATTTATTCTGTAAATGTTAAGAACATATCATTGTTTTATGTGTACTTATGGAGAAATGTATTTTGTTTCAGTTTCACACTTCTTACCATTAAAATCCCTGCCAAATACAACACCTGCCTGTTCCTTGGAGGAATGATGCTGAGGAGAGTTTAGCTGGCTGTTAAGTTTCAATATCCACACGTTGAAAACGAGAACAGTACAGTAGTAATTACATTTCTGGAAAGGCAGCACGCTGGCAAATATCTAAAACTTCCATACAAATACATCTTTGGTGATTTTATGGAGGGAAGTGTATCCTTTAAGTTCAGGGTTAACGTTATGTTAGATAAAAATCCCACCAGTGTTTCCACTATAGTTATTTTAAGAGCACCCTGAAAACAGAGGAGATCTCGTGGCACGGTTAGCTGGTTTCATTAGCAGAGCTAGCTGCCTCATCGCCTTGGAAAAGTTAGCACAAGATTAGATGCAAAAAAAGCTGCATGTGTATGATCCTTTAAGCTTCTTAGCAACTCTTACTTTTTGTTAGGCGTCCAGCAGGCACATATTGTGACCAGCGTGATGAGGAGGAAGATGCCTCCAGTGGAGAGGATGATGTAGAGCGAACTCCTTCCTGTTAGCATAGGCAACATTACAGGTAACAACATTATACACAGAAAAACAAGGGATCGTGCAAGGCAGGATTTCACAGAACATTACTTGTTGAGTATTGATCAAATATTGGAGTAAGTCTACATTTAAACCTGTAAGAACCTTGACAGACACTTGGACTCAAACGCACGACTAAAAAGAAAGTTTGTTGTTCAAAAGGTCTTTACTTTGGATAAGTATAAAGTTCAAACAAAAATCCCTCCTGAGAGGCAAAATGTAGCAAGGCAAACTACAAACTAAACAAACTTGACTATGATCACAAAGAACAAAATCTCTTGGCGTGACAAGCTGGCTCTCTAAATGGCACAAGACGAACTGGCACAAGACGAAGGGAGACAGGACTATTTATACATGAGGTAAGTGGGAACAGGTGGAAACAATCAGGGGCGGGGCAGACGCTGACGATGGCGGGAAAACACACAAAGGGAGGAAGTAAGGGGACCAGAAATGAGAGACAAGAGGTAAGTACAAAATAAAACAGGAAGTGCAATGACAGGACTGGACAGGTGAACAAAAAGACTTGACTAAACATAAATCTAACCTGGGCTATGAACTAAACGTGAAACAATAACAAGAACCTGATTAACATGACATGAACAATTTAGCAGACATGACGGGATGTTACAAAACCACAGGTAATGTTGGCCACTTTAATTTCTAAAGACTTTGGGATGGATTACCATGAAATAAATCCAGTGGCCTGGGAGTAGATTACTTTGGTGATCCAATGTGTTGAGATTCATATTCCTGATCTTGAATGAAATATTTCAACATCGATTGGGGGGATTGCCATAACATTTGAATTTATAATTAACTGTGATCAGAGCTGGTCGTTATCTGTCTTATTGAGCATTTCCAATACTTTTAGGTATTACCGATTATTGTAAACAAACAAATCTTATTTATGTCCGGTTGTATCGTCCAACTGGTCATGTGACACAACACAAACATACCAGTAAGGTAACGTTGTATTCACTTAAACATGATTGGTATTAAATATAACTTACTGTAGACGGTCAGTTTGATGGGCAGGCTCGTCATGTTGCCTACAGGATTCTCCACCATGCAGATGTAGATATCGTCGTCTGCCATCAAGACTCGCATGATGGTCAGGAACTTCTGATCCGGAGAAAACACGAACCGCGTCATGTTGCTCAGCTGCTTCCCCCCTTTGAACCACCTGTATGCAGTCTTGGTGCCATTATCATGGGAGCAGTTCAGGACCACGTTTTCACTGAGCTCCAGAACCGATGTCGTCTCCATGTGGATGAAGGGCCTGGATATAGACTCTGGATATAGGAGATACAATCATTTCCAACATGTAAACAGACAAAGAAAGAACAGTACTACGAAGCAGGATTTGTGGTTAGCGGGGTCACTTCACGGTTTCCTATGATGCTGGTTCACTTCTGGCCGGGGTGAAGAGCCATCGTAACTTCTTCTCCAGAGCAGGTTATGTTCAAGATAAGAGATCAACTCGAGTTAAAGCTCCGTCTACTGACCAATCAGAGCTCGATGCCCAAAGTTTAAGACTGTGAAGTTACATATCAAGGAAATACAAAGACGGCCTGCAATGAATTACCGACTATGAAACGTTTAAAGAAAATCACTGCAAATCTCGTACAATCTGACTATTATGAGATTTGTGGCAAGCTTACTTAAAAATCCTATAATGATCCACAACATTAACAATAAAGGATTCTATTCTATTCTAACGTTAGTTACCGGAGAAATGCACTCGAAGCCGGACTGAAAAGCCCTGGGTTGACTTACCGAGTTGATGACCAACGTCGTAGGATCAAGTTTGTTAGGGTTAGTTAAGCCAGGTTGAACTGGCTTCAGACAACAGGCCTCTGGTCCCTTTATTGGATTTGATGCACTAAGTTTAGTAACCTTGAGATAGTGAGTGAGAGTCTATAGTAAGACAGAGCCCATGTGGATCAGTCCCAAAAATGCTTATAAGATAAGAGGTACTTTATTGATCCTAAATTGGGACATTATTGCGTTGCAGCAGCATCAAAAACAACAAAACAAAACATTGCACATGAGTAGAAATTAAACATCTCAAAACAGAATTAAAACAGCATTTAAAAGTAGAAAATAAACAATAGACCGTGAAGATAAAAAAATCGATATACTCTTGACTATAAAACACTATTGAAGGACTTTAGACACAATCATAGTGAAGCCAAGTTCCTTGCATCTGTCTTCAAATGTCTCTTAGAAACTTGGTGAAATATTTATTATAGATAATGTCATTAGTTGCTCTTCCCCCCCATAGCATAGATAACTGACTCTCTATTTGAGAAGTACTTTAATAGATGACCCTACTTTGCCACCACTGACATTATTGCTATTTTACCAGCCTGTTAATCGAGACTCTATTTGAATGTCTTTAGTCTCGTTTTATTACCATCCACGGTCAGTGTGATGCTTCCCTCTCCAGTGAACGTATCGTCTGTGATGGAGATCTCCACGTCGTACGTCCCGTTGTCGGAGAGTCGGAGGTTGTGGAGGAGCAGAGTCCCGTTCTCAAACACCAGGATTCGGTCTCGATACTCCGGCCTCAGCGTCCCAATGATGTCGGTTCCTATCGACTGGACCACAGTGATGGACTTCTCCCTCTTCAGCTGCCACTTGATGACGGGCAGATCCAGACTGAAGCTGTTGTAGCAGACGGAGAGAACGGCTTCCCCCCCAACGGTGCCTCTGAGGAGGGTGTTAGGGATGCTCATATTCACCGCCAACACCCCACCTGCAGAAAGACAGAGAAAATAGGTCTGTGTATTAGATGTATCTTTCATGTCTACCCCATATGCAGAGGTGGGAAGCAGCGGAGTAAAATCTCTACTTCTTACATGTTGAACACAAATACCTGTACTTTCTACTTCTTACATGTTGAACTCAAATACCTGTACTTTCTACTTCTTACATGTTGAACTCAAATACCTGTACTTTCTACTTCTCTCATTTTCCAAACAGCTGGTTCCTTTAGTCTGAATGTGTGTTTGGTGGCGTGATCATTATTCTTTAGAGTCATTGCGTGCCTATTGATTTGAACACGATCCGTGTATCCATCATTTCCTGGTCTTCTCTAAAGAAGAGGGACCAATGGAAACGTTGTCATGTTGCCATTGTTCAGCATGGAAACATTCATTAGCTAACAATGACATTATTGTTCTATTAATATAAAGGGAGGTCAGGTACTCTTTAAAATAGCTGCTAGTTATGGGTACTTTTTACTGAAGTACATTTCAAAGTTATTTACTTGAGTAAAGAAGTTTAGTCAGTACTTCTACTTTTACCAGAGTACTTTGAAACACGAGTATCTGTACTTCTACTTGAGGAAAGGATGTGTGTACTTTTGCCATCTCTGCCCAAATGCCATCTACATTTCAACTGCAGAGCAACTTCCTTCAGGATACATGGAGTTCTGTCTTATCTTATCTTAAAGATACCAAGTACAAAAGGTTATGGATTAGGAAAATAAAAGCAGCGTTTTAAGACTCAAGGCAGAGAAAATAGGTTCCTGTGTATTAGATGTGTTTTTAATGTCCACCCTATTGCAACTTTTGTTAAATGACACCATCTATATCTCAGAGCAACTTCCCGCAGGATTGATAAAGTTCTGTCTTAAAGATAACAAGTACAACAAGGTGAAGAATTAGGAGAAGGAAAGGCAGCGCTTTGAGACTCAAGGCAGTCAATAAAACCACATTATAAACAGAACCGACAACATCCCTGAAAAGGCAAGTCCTAATGTCCTCCAACAACTATTACTAAGATGTGTCTGCCTTAAAATCAAGTGCATTATGAAGTTTCAATATGTTCTGTACCTTTTCCATATTCTTCTTGGGATTAGCCCTAGAATGACTCGGTGCAGATGCCACCAACCTGTTTGTAAACTGTAACGAATGGAGGAGGTAAAATAACTTAGCAATTCAGCAACTTTTAGGCCCTAATGATTTCCATTCACGTAACCAATACACAGTAAGACAGTAAGAGTATGATTTCAACATCAGGGTACTCATTTGTTTTCATTTTGCCATACTTATCAGTGTTAATGAACCCATAAAAGCAATTGTTAGTACAGAAATACGTAACTTCAGACCCAGTATTACATTATGCATTGCCACAAAGAAGACACACCACTTATTGCTGGCATTGGACCTAAGTGAAGAACACTGTGTACAGAGGAATAATCCAACTTGAACGTTATTTCCTGGACATACCGCCGTCTATTTCAAGATCTCTATTTAAAGCAACTTCTAAGCCCTCATGATTTCCATATGGGCAACAAGTCCCGCCTTTCACGTTACGTAACCAATGGCAGTCGGGCGGTAAGAGTATGATTTCAACATCAGGGAAGTGTCACGATTCTCATGTAATGTCACGATCTGTCTGCGTTGTGTTTTGTCTTGTCTAGATCTGTCTTTGGTTTTCTGTCTGCGTTGTGTCTTGTCTAGATCTGTCTGTGGTTTTCTGTCTGCGTTGTGTTTTGTCTTTAGATCTGTCTGTGGTTCCCGGTCGTTAGTTTCCCTGGTGTGTCTAATTTACCCGATTGTGTTCACCTGGTGCCCCTGTGTTTTCTCCTCCCTCCTCACCTGTGTCTTGTTTGTATGATTAGTCTTGTGTGTATTTAAGTTCTGGTTTTTCTGTCTGTCTTTGTCGGTTCGTCTTTTGTTGGTGACTGAGTTCACCGGTGAGTGGTCTGGTTTGTCTGTGTTAGTTTCATTATCCTTGAAATAAAGGTTTATCAGAGTTCTCTGCATTTGGGTCCTGCTTTCTTCACTCAACCGTGACAGGAAGTACTTTTTTAGATTTTGCCATACTTATAGATAGATCTTTAATTTTGTCATTGTACAGGTACAACGAAATTACAATAAACTCAAGGTGCCAACACGCAACAACAATACACTATAAAAACAATAAATGGGACTTAAAATAGACATGATAGGGAATATGTACATAAATAAATAATAAATTAAATTGCACGATTCCCCTCATATTGCACGGAAGGCTTATATAATTTAAATATCAAATATATCAGTGTTAATGAACTCATAATAGCAATTCAATGCGTAAATTCAGACACAGTATTACATTATGCATTGCTACACTCATTGGACCTCAGTAAAGTACATTGCGTTCAGTGGAATAATCCAACATGAACGTTATTTCTTGGGGTTACGGTTGCTGTTTGTCTGCTCATTAATCTGCCTGAGTGTTTTCAGCTGTGTGTGTGATTATGCAAATGAGCTGTGTGGTTGCCCCAACATCATTGGCTGTCATCTCCTGGTCCACTTCCGAGGACACTGATTGGAGCACGCCGGGCCCGACGTTCTCCAATCCCTGTGCAAGCCCAGCGCACACCTGCTGGAGAGGACTACAAAGCTGGGGACAATCATCACTCTGGAGGCTCTGCTGAGTGAACAGACGCCTCTCGCATGTTGCTCTTCATTCTGTGGTTAATCTTGTGTGTTTATCTCCGTGGGATATTGTGTGTTAGTAGAGTGTAGAGTAGGTTAGTTAGTGTTTAGAGTATCGTTAGGATTTGTGACTGTTGCCTTTAGTTTAGCTGTGTGTTTTGTGTAGACTCCCTTTGTTAGTTGTACCACTCTTGAAGTGAGGTTTTGTTTAGTTCCGTATTTAGAGTGAGTGTTATTTCTTCGGTATGTACACAGACTCCTTTTTAAGAGTCCTCCCTTAGTTTGGTTATCTGTCAACCTGTGCCCTTTTGGCCCTTTTGTTTGTTTCAGGCTGCCTGCCTGCCATTTTGTTTACCGCTGCTATTACAAATAAATCACTTATAATTATACCAATTCTACTCTGGTCGTGTCGTTTCCCTTTTGTTCCCCTAGCCCAGGGGTGGCCAACCAGTCAGAGGTTAAGAGCCACATTTGTTTCTATGTTACTGCAAAGAGCCACATCAAACACACAGTCACTGATACCGCTTGTTTCAGTTTTTTGTTTTCTGGAGACAAGATTTCAACCACGTCACTGATGCATTTTTGTGGCATTGGGATATATTTTTTTTAAATCCTCTGGAGCAGAGAGAGGAGCTTATTGTTATTGATTAATGCATCAGTGTTTCTTAGGGTCAAAAACACTAAACTCACAACTTGAAATGAAAGCGTTTAGTTTATTTAATAAAAGAGCACATGTTCAATGTGAAAAGTGACAGTAGTTATAGATTATTTGCAATTTGGTGCTATATATATATTTTTTTTTAAAAATGACATATATTTTTTGGGCGAGGGGCTCCGTTGGTGGGGCGCAGCGCCCCTCCAAGACAATGGTAGGCGAAACACTGGATAGTGTTTAATCAACGATAGGTTTCCCCCCCCCCCCCTCAAAGGTGATGATTCACTGCATCGCAGGTATTATTGTGATTGGCTCTTGGGCCACATGAAAATTACCTGACACCACACATACGTGGGGAGATGGGGGAGAGCCGGGACGAAAGTAACACGGGACGAAAATAACGGAGCGATTTTATCCGAGCCCAAACAACTTTGACCGGCCAAATTACGTCAGAATTATCAACATTCAATACTTAACAGACCTACTAAATATCAGGTTTAACTGTCAGGAGTAGTGTTGTCACGATACCAACATTTTGGTTTCGATACCAAGTCAAGAATTGCGATTCCGATTCTTTTTCGATACTTTTCTTAAAAAAAGGGAAACAGTCTTAAATGTAATTATTAGGGCCGGGGCTCGATTAAAAAAATTAATCGAAATTAATCGCATTTTTAATCACATATACATATTTGACCTGAGAACAGTGAGAAGCAATTTTTTTCACATGGATTTTAGTATACCATTAGGCGCATTCACACCGCAGTACTTTTCCCACAAAGGTTCATGAGAATTTAGTTCATGAGAACTCTTTGAACCTGGGGGGAGGATTAGGCAAATGAAGCCGCTGACGTCACTTCTTTCTTCTTCTGCTTTGGGTTTACTGGCAGGCCGCAAACCACTTCACGGCGTATACTGCCGCCCAAAGTCCCCGGCCGGAAGTCCCCGGAGTTGGGGACTGGCTTCAGTAGAAGCTGCTGGGAGTCCCAGCAGCCTTCCGAGTAAATCGCCAGAACGCCGACACCTCCTCATCTCCCATGTTTTATTTTGTGTTGCCATAAATTAGTCTCTCTGCGTTTCTGCGCTGTGCTAATGCTAATAATGCTAATGCGAGGATAATACAATTCACAAAACTTTTTGGGAGTTTTACGGGGCGTGGTTTGCAATCCGCCCAGCCAATCAGAAATATAGCTCTTTTCTCACTAGAGAGCCGTACGAAAGTCCCTGCTCTCTAGCAGCTCTCTGCTCTCTAGCAGGGACTTTCGTGGGGGTAGAAAGGTTCTCATGAACTAATTTTAGTACCGGCTCTTTTTGGTGTGAACGCGATAAAAGAGGCTAACGTCCACGCTAGCTTCCACGCTAGCTGCTATATGTTTTGCATTGAGGTGATACTTGAGGCTTGATGTGCTGCGGTGATATGCGAATTCCTTTTTGCATAATTTGCACACAACCGTGCTCTTATCGACGCTTCCATCCGTCCGTTTTTTAAAACAACATTTCCCACTGTTGTTCACTGTGGTTTGTTGTTGTCTGAAGTCATGAACGTTAGTTGGTGCTCCAGTATAATCGGTACGCCTGAAACTCATCCAGTGAGAAACGTTCCGCGGTGCAAAAATAAGTGCGATTAAAATGCGTTAATTTTTTTTAACGCGTTAATTTTTGTGTAATTAATTAATCTTAATTAACGCGTTAAAGTCCCGGCCCTAGTAATTATTGTGCTTTATTTCACACCAGAACCATAACCATAACACAACCTTTTAAACAATGAGAACAATAAATAAAATAAATGACAAGAATTCGTATTAAATACAATTAATAAATGTCTTACAGACAGGCCTCATGGTGTCCGTAGGCTTGCCCTCACTGTCAGAGATATAGCTAAAATACATCAAAATGTCGCTTCTGGCGTCTTTTTTGTCAACAAGCCGAGGCGCAGCGGCAGTTGCACTCCCACTTGCAGCCATGCTTCTCGTTTTCTCACATGCTCTGGCAGCTAGCGCGTGCATGAGAGAGGGGAGGGACTTAGAGCGTGCTTGAGAGGGGCGGGACTGCAGGCACGGCTGCAGTGCAGGGATTGGAAGCAGAGCGTTGAACACACGGCTCTTATTAAAACGGCGCTTTCTCACCGGAGTACTTTTCCCCGTCATTCTTAAAGTACCGATAGGCCTACTAATGAAACGGAGGAATCGTAACGTTTTTAACGGCAGGGTATCGCGGTATACCTTTCAAGTATCGGTACACCGTGCAACACTAGTCAGGAGTCAGTGTCTCTCCTCCAAACTCACACATATACAATTCGATATGAACTGAAGAGCCGCATGAAACTAGGCAAAGAGCCGCATGCGGCTCGAGAGCCGCGGGTTGGCCACCCCTGCCCTAGCCAATTGGGAACGTAACACTTGGACATCCCACTGTGTATTCACAGATCTCTACGAATAATCGTTTTTGCACACAGGCAAACTGTGAAAGCTGATCATTATTCGATGTGGGCACTGTCGTGTCAAATTATTATATAATAATTCAAAACATACTCTGATTGCGTTTTAGTCTGCTAATATGTATTTTTAGTCTTGTATGTGTTGAACAGAGACGTTTGTTAAGGGTTTACATTTCAGGAGGGCAAAGGAAGTAGAAGGTGGATTTAAAAATGGTTAAAGGACTGGGAGGTTTAATGGTTTCATGATGGGGATGTTTAGACGATGCCTAAGAGACTTGATGGGGCCATTTGGCTTTTCTCTCTACTATATAGTTTGACTGTGAGCTGTGTTCTGGGTGCACAACTTCTCTCTCTGAGGATGAAGTAGATTAGATTACTTGATTGTCATTACATAATGCAGACAGTGTACCGAAATGAAGAGGGTCTAACCAGAGTGAAAACAGTCAGTTATATACACATCTATCAGCAGTCTGTACACAATAAATGCACTATGCAAATATACAAGTAAAGGTATATAGATGTAAAATGTATAAATACAAATATATACACTGAGGCGAGAGTAGGCGAGTTTTTCCTACATTTGGGATCGACTTCACTTTCTTTATTACTTTATTAAATATAACTAAAGACAAACTTTGTCCCTGAATCATTGATCAGTTTCTCTTCAGAGCTTCCTCCGCAGGCACCACGCCCCGTCTCCTCTGGATACTGAGCAGCTTCGCGTGTCACCAGCTGTCATTCCTCGGGATGGGCCAACAACGGGGGGGATTGTCTGCAGATCTCCTTCTTGCCAGTTCATGAAAACAACACTGGGTGCAATCCAGATGCAATGCTAGCGCTGCAGAAACAGAGCAGCTCAGTGATGACACACATCCACAGCTGGGAATAAACCAAACCACTTTCTGGAGAAACAATATTGTATTACCGCACGAGGCTGTACAAGCTCCCACACAGTCTAATGCCACCCAAGTCACCAGCAACAAATAACACCTTTGTGATCGTTCTGCAGAGTCTTCACTTCCACGGACATTACATAATGTTACTTATAACACAAGAGGAAATATTCAGATCCTCTGCTTCGCTTAGAAGCAAAAAGTAGACAAAGTATTAAACAGAAGAATGCAGAAAAAACACCCAATAAACGAAAAATGTTCAGAATAAGTTAGAAAAATATTCAAATGTTCGGCTATATTATTCTTGTATAAACGCTTGTCTAGTAAACACCAGGTTTTATAAACACTTTTTAGTTTTTCTATGCATAAATATCTGTCATTGAAGTCACTCAAGCTGTCAGAAATACTATAGCAGACAGCCCTATATTTAACCCTTATTTTCATCTCACCCCTGCAAAACATTGCAGAAATCCCCCAAAACATCTGGTAATACATTTTTTGAAAGCGTGTACATGTTTCATTTATATTTCATTTGAATATACAACTATAAAAACAGTACCTGCATGTCTTACAATGTGAAATGCTGTTGTTTACTTCTATACTCTACTGGGAGGACCCTCTGGTTGTTTCATAAACCCTCAAAATCAAACCTGCACTTTGTATTTTCTTTATTCCCTTAAACTGACACCATCACTTATCAGCTGTAACTTCTTTGCTGCATCATAAACACTGTCTTTCAGATGCAATGCATAGACAAGCGACTGTAAAGTGGAAGTAGCTGTTGCATACCTGAGTTGTAGGAACTGAGACCCAGGAGCAATACAATCCAGGGGATGGTTAGAGTTGTTGCAGCAGCCTCCGTCTTCATCTTGCTCTCGGTCTTGTGTTGCTGTCAGCGCAGCAGCAGGATCTGAGACTGACGGAGAACACAGGCCTTCTTTCAGCCTCCATCAGAACATGCTGTTCTCAGCGGGAACAAACGTCTGTGTGTGGACGTTTGTTTAGACAGCTCCATGTTTCTAATGTTACAACAACTCATATGTTTCCAATTCTATTGCAATGTAAATACTGCTATATTTTTTATGTTATTATAGTTTTCTTTAAATAGTTTTCTATCTGTGTTTTCAATTCTTGTTTTCCTTTTATGTCTGCACCACGACATCAAGTCAAACTCCTCGTACTGTACGTGTCAACCTGGTGATAAACCTGATTCTGATGTTAATACACACAACGAAAACACTGTTGGCGTCAACAACAATTGGGTTGAAAAAACACGACACATGTGATTTTTTTAATTGAAATGAAAGGGATTGTAATTATTTTTGCACACTTTTACAGTAATGTTGTAAAACATTACTGTAAATGTACACAATACATTTCACAGCGTATCTGAAGTCAATTTATTCCTTGATCGTCTGAAATAGATAAATCCAATGTGTATCTCCCAAAATAACAACCATTTAGAATAAAAAAGTCAACATACTAAATAGGCCAAATGCTGAAACCATGAATTAGGATATATCAAATATAAATAACGTTTTATTTTATTGTATAAAGGGATATGTATATGTTGTTTTAGAAGTATGTTGGTCTAATGCAGTGTATTCAAATGTATTTTTCATATTGTACATTGTATTGTATATATAGTTATCTTTCTACTGTTGATATGAATACATTTACTGTTTTATTTTTCAATTGTATTATATTTTAAACTCATTTTGCAATGCCTTGTGAACATGCTGCTGTATATAATATAATTATTGATGTATTAAAGTGTTCTCAAAGCTGACTTTGTATACTGCAGGGTAGCTTGTGAATTTACTCCAGGTGGAACTAAAGTCTGATTCAACACTTGATTATATTTCATATCATTCATCCACATCTGTAAAGTAACTAAAGGTATTAAATACATGTAGTGGAGTCAAAGTACGCCATGTACCTCTGAACTGTATGGAGTAGAAGTACACAGTAGCATCAAATGGAAATACTCAAGTAAAGAACAAATCCCTATAGTACAGTACTTGAGTAAACCTACTTAATTACTTCCCTCCTCTGATTATATGACATTAAAACATTTGAACCTAGTGATTTAAAGTCATAAAATGTGTGCCTGTGACTTTAAGAAGACTTCATCACAGACAACCAATCAGGGAAGACGCAGAGTTGCTTAGTAACAGACGTAAACAGACAGTGTTCTTTCCTTGTTGCTATGCAGCTCGGGTGCAGATGTTGTGTTTGACTCGCAGCTTCAGTGAGTTGTAGTAGTGGTTGTTGCTGTTGTTGCTGTTGTTGTTGTTGTGTTGTTATCTGCTCCTGGTTGACTCTCCTCTCATGGCGGAGATAAAGCCCTGTGAGCCCTCGGTGCTCTACAACCTGCTGAACAGGAGCGGCGCGAGGCTGGCGGAGATCAACTACCTCTGTCTGATCGGTAAGAGACAGAGATGGAGAAGTACACACACATCCTTACATATACCCGTGTTTAAAAATACTCTCGTAGAAGTAGAAGTACTGACTAAACTTCTTTACTCAAGTGAAAGTAAAGAGGCTTTGAAGTGTCCTTCAGTAAAAAGTACCCATAACTAGCAGCTGCTTTAAAGAGTACCTGACCTCCCTTTATATTAATAGAACAATAATGTCATTGTTAGCTAATGAATGTTTCCATGCTGAACAACGGCAACATGACAACGTTTCCATTGGTCCCTCTTCTTTAGAGAAGACCAGGAAATGATGGATACACGGATCGTGTTCAAATCAATAGGCACGCAATGACTCTAAAGAATAATGATCACGCATCAAACACACATTCAGACTAAAGGAACCAGCTGTTTGGAAAATGAGAGAAGTAGAAAGTACAGGTATTTGAGTTCAACATGTAAGAAGTAGAAAGTACAGGTATTTGAGTTCAACATGTAAGAAGTAGAAAGTACAGGTATTTGGGTTCAACATGTAAGAAGTAGAAAGTACAGGTATTTGGGTTCAACATGTAAGAAGTAGAAAGTACAGGTATTTGAGTTCAACATGTAAGAAGTAGAAAGTACAGGTATTTGAGTTCAACATGTAAGAAGTAGAAAGTACAGGTATTGGGTTCAACATGTAAGAAGTAGAAAGTACAGGTATTTGAGTCAAATGTAAGAAGTGAAAGTACAGGTATTTGAGTTCAACATGTAAGAAGTAGAAAGTACAGGTATTTGAGTTCAACATGTAAGAAGTAGAAAGTACAGGTATTTGAGTTCAACATGTAAGAAGTAGAAAGTACAGGTATTTGAGTTCAACATGTAAGAAGTAGAAAGTACAGGTATTTGGTTCAACATGTAAGAAGTAGAAAGTACAGGTATTTGAGTTCAACATGTAAGAAGTAGAAAGTACAGGTATTTGAGTTCAACATGTAAGAAGTAGAAAGTACAGGTATTTGTGTTCAACATGTAAGAAGTAGAAAGTACAGGTATTTGTGTTCAACATGTAAGAAGTAGAAAGTACAGGTATTTGTGTTCAACATGTAAGAAGTAGAAAGTACAGGTATTTGAGTTCAACATGTAAGAAGTAGAAAGTACAGGTATTTGTGTTGAAACTGTAAGAAGTAGAAAGTACAGGTATTTGAGTTGAAACTGTAAGAAGTAGAAAGTACAGGTATTTGTGTTCAACATGTAAGAAGTAGAAAGTACAGGTATTTGTGTTGAAACTGTAAGAAGTAGAAAGTACAGGTATTTGTGTTCAACATGTAAGAAGTAGAAAGTACAGGTATTTGTGTTCAACATGTAAGAAGTAGAAAGTACAGGTATTTGTGTTCAACATGTAAGAAGTAGAAAGTACAGGTATTTGTGTTCAACATGTAAGAAGTAGAAAGTACAGGTATTTGTGTTCAACATGTAAGAAGTAGAAAGTACAGGTATTTGAGTTCAACATGTAAGAAGTAGAAAGTACAGGTATTTGAGTTCAACATGTAAGAAGTAGAAAGTACAGGTATTTGTGTTCAACATGTGAGAAGTAGAAAGTACAGGTATTTGTGTTCAACATGTAAGAAGTAGAAAGTACAGGTATTTGAGTTCAACATGTAAGAAGTAGAAAGTACAGGTATTTGTGTTCAACATGTGAGAAGTAGAAAGTACATTTACCCAAGTACTGTACTTTTAAGGTACTTGTACTTCACTTGAGTATTTCTATTTTATGCTACTTCGTACTTTCTACTACATTTCAGGTAAATTACGTACTTTTGACTCCACTACATTTGTTAAACAGCTTTAGCTAAATTAACTAAGTGCATCTCTAAAGATGTAACTAGTGGACTAACTCTTAAGGTATGTCACGGTCTGTCTGTGTATTTTCTCTGTTCATCTCCTGTCTGCTTCCTGTGTGTGTGTGTGTGTGTGTGTGTGTGTGTGTGTGTGTATGCCCAAGTTATCTCATAATAATGCTTCAAATGTTCGTTAGCTCTTTTAATATGTAATATGAGCTTAATAAAATACAGAAGACAGGCCTCTGTACATAGTGTTGTTCTATTGGTGTCCTAAGGGAAGTATTGGTGACCACAATGTGAGTTGGGTTTCGTTCTTTGGCTGTCGCTCACTTCTTTATGTCTCTTTCTAGATGCTCGTGAAACCCAAGACTACAGAACAAGTCACATCATAACAGCCAAGACTGTCAAAACGGTACGGAGGTCATGTGGTAAACTTATGCTGGCACGATGGACGTAATGACCAGGCTTTTTAGACAGCAGGAAGTAAGACGCGTTAAGATTGTGCAGCACTTTAAATGAGATTCTAATGTTAAGAGATACAAACGTGTTGTATTCCTGATTAGAGGGGAAAGTGTTGTTTATTGATTGCACATGTTGATGCTTTTGTCTTATCCTTCAGCCCATCTCTGATCTCATGTTGTTAGGTAAATGATTCTTGATACTTGAATATTAAGAAATCACATCTATAGGGTTTACAAACCGTGTTGCAGCTCATTCCTTAAAACAGAATAAGAGAAGAAGTACTTTGTTGATCCCAATTTCAGACATTCTTTACGGAAAGAAGCCTCAGATTGCTTATATGGAATATGAAGGCGATATTTCAAGCTGGTTATGTTGATGAGTTAAGTAGCTGCGGGCCAACACAACATGGACCACGGGCCGCAGCTTGGAAACCCCTGATACAAAAACAAACAATTCAGCCTCTTACTTATTTGACTTTCTAGGGTTGTTTTGTTGAAATAATCTATATTATATGATCTTGAGTTGTAAGCCAAGTTTCATCCTTTAGTTTATTTAAGGAGACCTTTGTGCCATGAATGTGCACATGTCTGTTTGCAGCTAATATTGAGCATAGGATCGTGTAACATTGAAAAAGGTCCAAAGGTATAGTGCTGTGTAAACTGAAGGGAAGTGAAACCAGTGAGATTCTGTTATTCTTTAGACACATATTCTCTTGGCGGACTTGACGCAAGTATTCTGGCTCTTATAATGTTGTACAAAAATATAATAATGTCTTCAATCAGCAGTGTGTCTGTTTCTATGTTGTTATGTCTTGAGTGTCTAACGTTTCGGATCCATGACAGTTTGGTTTCGTGTTAAATATCTGACTTCCTGTGTGTGCAGGATTCAGAAGGCGTGTTCCTGCTGCCCGAGGCTCTGGAGGTGGACAGCATGCAGCACGTGGTCGTCTACGACAGCAACACCAGCTCCATACAGGAACACAGTAAGGAACTAAACAGGACTAGGGTCTGCTAAATAGAAGCCCCCCCCCCCCTCACTTCTGTGGTAGCATTAGGCAGTGCTCCCGTTATGCTCCTCAGCCAGAAATATGTTCAGGACAATACAATGTGCATCGAGCCGGTCAATATTGCAAAATGAACCCCGGGGTTGAATCACCATGTGTTTCATTTAATAATAATCACCGTCTTGAT